GGGGGGGCTGTGAGTGTGTGTTGGGTTCGCTTCGAAAGGGGGCACATAAACGATCCGGAGTAGAAGGCGGTCTCCATGTCATGTCCGCCATGTAGATACGCTCATGCACGACTAGCATGCCACATTTGAAGGCAATAGACCTGCTTTAATTGGCCATGATTGAAGCCAGCTGTGATCACTCCCACAACAGCGCAGCCTTCCCTCCAACATGGGGTCTAACCAGCCTCAGAAATGCCACGCAAGGTTTACGCCGTTCACAAAAAATGGAGCCCTCCGTGGCATCCGTATGGCTTTGTCTTATTACATCTGCACGCATACACACACACCCATGCGCAATATCATCCGCCCGTGTTTGTTTGTATGTTCTGTGTATGGGTTCACTCAAAGTGTCCTGTTGCTGTTCCTTAACTTTCTTAGTTTCTGAGTTGTTTTTTTTCCCCAAACAGGAAAACACATTAAGCTGTACCAGATGGAGTAAAAGCGGAGTCCCGTCTCATATCACACTTGGGTTTATTCAAATGCACACTACACAGCTCGTAAACAAGCCGTGCTGCTTCTGTAACCTGTTACTTTGTCGACAATAGGATCTTTGTGTCGCCTGTTCTTGAACCTATACAGTACATTGCTGTACTGTAAACCAAACTAAGCTCCAGTTTACACATTTATCCATGACTGTTTTAACCATGTGAAGTGCATCCATGAATCCTGCAAGGTTCTGTCATTGCAGTCTAAATCCTAAAAAGTGTACGGGCGTCTAAGTAAAATGTGACCGCTGAGTCAGTGTTTCATTTATCACTGACATAATGTATTTGCTTTTTATTTTCTTCAATCATATTTCGCAGTAGTTGCATGTATACTGTTTCTTGTGTATTGTGGAGGAGTTGAACCAAATTGCTGGGATAGTAAGCAAGATTATAAATGAGTATTAGCTGTCCTTGTTTCAGAAATGTGACTTCTGTGTGCCCCCTTGTAGTTCCCTCCGAGCAACTCTGTCTATGTTGTCCCTCTGTCAGATCTCATTCCATGACTCCAATCCTGAACAATCCCAAAGTGATCCAAATGAAACAAAAATTCTGAGGTTGAGCATTTAAACATGGATTTTCTGCTGATGACATAATTACAAAAGTCAAAAGGTGAAACTCCACAAGGAATATGTACCTCAGACTGATACTTTATTTTCTAGCAATGATGCCGTTCACATACCATTCATTCATGTTGTTATCATTTCATTCTGACATAGCCCCCACTGAACTGACATATACATGGACTGGCAAGTATACCTCCATTTCTCTTTTGAACATCCTGTTGTTTATTCCATGGACTTTGCACGTTCTCCAGTGAGGACAGAGGTTGTTCCTTCGTTGGAACGATTGACAATTTTCTAGAGGCAAAAGGTCCTGGCTCCAAACATGCGCCCCTGATATGTTAAATACAGAGAACCAATTGTCCGTGACTCTTAACGTATCCTCTTCGTTTCAGGAACCTCAAAACCACGATGGATGAGGAGCAGTGCTACTACAATGAGACCATTGCCTTCTTCTACAACCGCAGCGGCAAGTACCTCGCGACTGACTGGAACACGGTCAGTCGGTTGGTGATGGGCCTGGGCATAACAGTCTGCATTTTCATCATGCTGGCCAACCTCCTGGTGATGATCGCCATCTACGTCAACCGGAGATTCCACTTCCCCATCTACTACCTGATGGCTAACTTGGCAGCTGCGGACTTCTTTGCCGGACTGGCCTACTTCTACTTGATGTTCAACACGGGACCAAACACGAGGCGTCTGACTGTTTCGACATGGCTTCTCCGGCAAGGCTTGATTGACACCAGCCTGACAGCCTCTGTGGCAAACCTCCTCGCGATTGCCATCGAGCGCCACATCACAGTATTCCGCATGCAGCTGCACACACGCATGAGCAACCGGCGCGTGGTGGTTGTAATCGTCATCATCTGGACCATGTCCATAGTCATGGGAGCCATTCCGAGTGTGGGCTGGAATTGTATCTGCAGCATCAAATCATGCTCCAACATGGCACCGCTTTATAGCAATTCCTACCTAGTCTTTTGGGCTGTCTTTAACCTGGTGACCTTTGTTGTCATGGTGACGCTCTATGCCCACATCTTTGTCTATGTGCGCCAAAGGACAATGAGGATGTCACGTCACAGCTCCGGACCCCGACGTAACAAAGACACAATGATGTCACTGCTGAAAACCGTGGTGATTGTGTTGGGTAAGCATCCTCCTTCTCCTCGTTCTGTCTGTCTAAAGAAATTGCTTGTAGGCTGATTTCAAAATTGATTTGTGGACTTGTCTGAAACACTCGATGTTTATTTGAAATGGAATACTGTTGTACATAAGACTTAAATGGGACACGCAGTTCTGTCTCGTGCAGTGGTCACTAACATGGTGCCAGGGGGCAGCAGGTATAGCCACCAAGGACCACATAAGTGTAGTGTAGTGATTATTTCAAAATGTAATCAAATGCCCAGACCTATAGAACAAAAGTATTGTAAATTAAGACATTTCTACCTCGTTGAACGCTTATTTATAACAGTGAGAAGTCATTCACGTGATCAGTGATCATTGATGAATATTATTATTTATAACATAACTAATGAGAATTTGATTTTTTTTCCAAAAGTGTGTATCTAACTGTTTATCCCTTTACATTAATGAATGTTTTTTTTTTCGTTTTTTATTTCTTTTTTCAAAAAGCTCGCTAATTGCTAATCCATGATTCGAGTGCGTAAAATAATAAACTATTGGGCTAAATTATTTTTGATTAATATTTAGGTCCTCCAATGTTCTTTTAAATGCAACGGTCAACCTAGAATAAATCTACAATGTATTGACTAGTTACGGAATGTACTGAATGTGATTTTAACTTCTGGAAGACTCCATCCACCATAGCATATGATAAACTCTTTCAGTGTATGTCCAAAGCTCTGTATACAAGACGGGCTTTATATCCAATCTCAGTTATTTATGGCTACATTTCAATGCTTTGGCATTGTAAATTGTCAAGGCCTATACTATGATGGGGCCTGGTTTATCTTCCAGCTGAGCAGGGTGTGAAGTCTGACAGTTTTATGTTGGAGCATTCCAGAAAGATATCTCTCCCACTTTGCAAGGTTCCAGGATTCTCCGATTGTGTGATAGTTTATTTAGAAATGGAGTCTTACTTGCCTACAACGATCTCTAGCAAACCCCAGTGAGCTGAGTGAAAACGGAATTCAAGTGTGAATTGTGGGAAAAAGTGCTTGTTGATACTTTGAAGCAGGATGTGTTTGTCCTTAGACAAAACATACCAGAGGATTCCATGTGATTTGTCTCTGATGTGAGTTCCTTCTCATCCTTTTGTCACGGTCTCCTAAAGCTATGGACAGAAGAAGGGTGGTTCATTCCATAACAAATTATCCGGTGGGTTTAACCAAGTGGGTTTTGATTTGAATGAAATTCGCTGTACTGATTGATCGTGATGGCGCAACCCTAAGGCTCACATTTTAGGTCAATTGGAGCAGAGGTTCAGGAGCTACGGCCCACTGAATATTAATATGTTTGGCAAAAAGGGGCGTGGCCATCTTGAGCCCTTATATTTCAGGAAGTACTGGCTCAATCTTCACAAAACGGGTGTTGTTGGAAAGAGGAATTCAGCAAGGAATCCAAATATGTCATTTAAAAGATTGGTGCAAATTTGAGTGACTTTACATTTTGACTTCTAATTTGACCTTGAAATTGACCTTGCGGATCACATGAATTTTTAACATTTTTCTTGGAATGTAATTGCCCACATGTCCATGGGGTATGGACACACCATATTCAGATGAGTGACTTCATCTTGATCCAGCCGAGACTGAGACTGAGAATATTTACAGAAAAGGAACACCACACATTTGTCAATACAACGAGCAGTCGGCCAAGGGCGGGCACAAGGACAGCGTCAAAGCTCCAGTTTGAGAACAGCCTACTGATTCAAACCGATGTAGAAATTCTAATGACTGACCGGTTTTAACGTAACTATAACTCAAAGAAAGAAGAGTCATGCGGTGCGACTCAAAGGGCTTTCTTTTTATAAACACCAAAGTGAGTTCTGACTGTAAGCTGCTTTTTTTGAAAAAAAAAATGCTTTTCATTGTAATGGGTTTTTTTTTCGTACAAAACATTTAATCACATCCATTTGACGCTTGGGTTGTATATGCAAATGTTTTTTTTTTTCTTCATGATAACCTAGCTGAAGTTGAACTACAATGCTCACAAGTCTTTCCGTCTTCAGAAGAGTTGCCAAACATTACGGTTGAGCTCTGGGTTTTGCAGGTGTTCGTCTTTTTTGGGGGAAAGGTCCAGAAATGCTTGACAGTATACCCCTTGGAGATGTCTTGTCATGCTTCTCCCATCTGTTGGCCAGATGATGGCTGTTTCCCTGCCAACTTCCCCCGCTTGTTCCTTTCAGGATGCTGTAAAGCGAACCATGACGGATTTCTGTCTCTGAAGCAATGAAAGAATGGGAAAGTAATGGGTCAAAGTTGATTTGGGCACTTAAACACATCTATAAGCGTAGAGACATATGCTGTAGCTTTGCCTTTTCACCGCTCTTTTGGGCTTTATATGGAACTGTGGGACAACGGATTTGCTTCTTTCACATCAACTCTAATGCGGCTGTAATGTTGTCCGGTGGTGGGAACACAAAACCACTTGATTAGTTTAACCACAGACAGATGAGCGCGTATCCTTTATAGAGATAAGCTGATGGACTCATACAAAATGAATACACTCGAACCAATTTTTCAAGACATTTTGGCAAGAAAAAAAATATTTGGACACAACTGTGTAATATTCAGCAAATTCATACATCATCTTAAACTTGACAATTGGCACTTTCACTTGAATGGGCACTCTTGCTCAAAGTGGATTCAGCTGCTGGTCTTAATGAAACTGGGGCGGCGGGTGGGACAAGTTGGAGTGACACCAACACAGATGATTCCTTTCTTGTTTCTCCTCTGAGTCAACAACTGTGTCCAACAAAAAGGCTCCATCCATGTGTGTGGTGTGCGCGTCAGGTGTTGGCTCATGCAGTTGGCCCCCCCTCTGTGTTTGAATTATCTTGATTGTCCCAGTGCTGGATGCATGATCAGATTATCGGACCATGTGGCACACACATTCGGTACATAGCACAAGTGTATGAACACAAATGGCATGAAAGCTCTGGCATTACGATTCAAGAGCTTTTGAAGCGTGTCCACTTTCTTATGGAAAGCAGAACCAATCTGACATGGTGACAGGCCAAACTCTGCCATCCACTGTCCGAGTGGAAACATGTCTGGTATGCAGCTCGCGCAGTCACCTGTTGTGTGTGTGGGGGGCATGTATGGCTCTGGCTGAATCTTTTTTTTTTTTTTTTTTTTTTGCAAGGGATTTCTGTTCACACTGTGGCTTTTCTAATCAGGCACAATAGTGTCCTTATGGTTCGTGTTTGGGCATCTAAGCATGCCGCAAGTGCTAATTTGCAGCACACTCTGTAATCTCGTTTGAAATGTAGCATTACCGGTTTCCCCCCCAACATATTTTCCCTTTTTTTTTTTATAAAATAAAGTAATCCTGCAACTTGCGAGCTGTTATTTACTACTAAAATAGCCTAAGTATATTGCAGGAAATTCCTGTACACCGTGCGGCTTTTTTAATCAAGCACAATAGCGTCCTTATGGTTTTGGTTTAAGCGTGTCTAAATCGCTAATTGGCGGATATACGATATAATCTCCTTTGAAATGTATCATTAACGACTTCCCCCCAACTTGTGAGTTGTTATTCGATCCTGAAAGTATCCGAAAGCATAAAAAAGGATGAAAAGCTTTATCGGGATTAATTTGGTGAATGAAAACCATCATTTTATATATATATATATATATATATATATATATATATCACAGAAAAATTAGATTTGCTGTATTTTTCTTCCGGTGAATCAATCTTTATTCCCATTTGAAAGAGGTCACTGTTCTTCCAGCTTTCGGCATGCCTCTCTGAGCATGAGCTCATCGTCCTCACACCGCCGGCCTCTTTAACAGTCATGCTGAAGACTTAGCCACCTTTTGTGATTGTATCTAATCGACAGTGTGCATGTGGAGAAAGGGAGAGCAAAAAGAAATCTCTCTTGGGGACAAATAGGAAACCACAGAGCCATTTCAGTATGCATAGAGTAATGGTTTCTGCTGACTGCTTTATTTCAATGGCCTCACGGTCGCGACCTCAGATGATTGCTGGCTTAGGAAATCACAGAATGAGATAAACACAGAGAGAGAAGGCTACATGGGAAGCCGAGTGAAAGATTTAGAGAGGAAAAAGGCAGATTGCTGGAAGTAAGGCATGACCAAGCTTGGCCAAGGCAAGTTTAAAGAAAGAAATTGAGATGCTGACACTTCATGTGTACAATAGAAAATTGTGAAATGCTATTGAAGACAGAAAAAAACACAGAGATCTTTTCATGGAATGATTGATATGGGTGACACATAACAAATTATCTCTTCGAGAAAAATAGCGATGAGGTCAATCAGAAAAATCCGAGACGGGCAACCGTGGTGGTCTCTGGTAAGAAAAAAAGTCAAATAAAATGTGGACAGTAAGTCTTGCAATGCAAGAACTATCCAAATGTTTCCACATCAATCGGAAATCTGATCACTTCGGTCAATGATGATGTAATCAAGTGCTGGCACGTGTTTGGCAGCGCACGTGTTTATCTTGTGCCCATGTGTGGATTCATGGAAGGATTTGATTCATTTTATTTTATTCTTCTCTGATCGAAGCCCAAAGAAAAATGATGATCATAATTTGGAAAATGAACACTTTCAAAATAACGAAATGGAGTTTGCAATAATTAAATGATAATTTGTTTCAGCGGCAGGACAAAATTTCAGGCCTGCAGTGGCTAATCAGGATGATTAATCTTGACTCATCAATCCAAGTGATCTGATTCAGTTTTAAGTATTTGATTTGGAAAATAATTCAAAATGCAATGCCCCTGTCCGAATCTGTTGTCGCAAAGGCAGACAAGACCTGGAAGGTTTCAAAACAGTTTTCCAGACATTTCAAGATTTTCCAGTCACTGCCGAGGAGCTGTGTTTATTTACATTTCTCCACGGACAGCCTGCTCTGCTTTTCCACTTTCTTTCCGCTATACTTGACATTCTATAACACTGACAAGGCAAGCGGGTTCACTTTGGTCCGCCCAAAAAACACATATCCCTTCCTTCCATCCACCAAAATGGCTTTTTGGAACGTTGAGTTGGATTCCT